TTCATAGAAAGACTATAATTTACCTGATTTTATCAAATTATATTTATTATATTTACTTAGGTTAGGACAGGGTATCTTTTCATTGATAAACATTCTACGATTTTTGTGTCGATCTATGGCTATCGCATTCGGCATTCCATTTTGATTACTAGAATTAGGAAAGTGTTAGTTTTTGTCAGCTACTTTCACAGTAAAATTACACCGGAGCCCTTTGTTATGTATGTGATGATAATATTATATAAAATAAACCCTACAATTATCTTACTCCTGATACTCTGCATTCTTCTAAGTCTCTCGAAGCTTGGTTTTTTGAAGGTTTCCCTTCTATCGTGTGTGATCTGCATACATGATATTTTTTCTTTTTTTCTTATTCTCTTTTTTTAGTTATTGTAAAGTAAACTAAATAAATTTTCCCTTTTTTAATTTTTTTTTTCTAGTGGATTTTATATTTATTTTATAAGGAATAAAATCGAAAAAAAGGAAATTTTACTTCGGCAAAATATTTCTATTCTCGATCTTAGGATAAAGTTAGCAAGATATTTAGTGATATTTTCTGATGATGAAAATTGCATTTTATCATACAGTTACGTACAGAAAATGTCGTCATATGTCATGTACAGTGTGGGTCACCACATTTTATCATCTAGATTTACGTTATTATTATTACGCGTAGCAGACAATGTTTCACATGGAGTTGAATGGCTTTAAAAGGGGCTCATACTGATAGTACTTTTTTTTTTTTGTAGGTGGACGTGTAAAGGACATGAAGGTCATTAATGTTTTTTTAAACGGAATCATATATTTTTTATTGCATCATCTGATGCTCTTTCATATTATTTACAAAAAAGTATTTACCTATTTATATAAAAAAATTATTACTTTAGGAGATATTTTAATTTTTATGTCTATTTACAAAGCACAAATACCATTCATATCATGTATCAAAGGTTCAAGAACTGACTGCAAATGACTGTTATCAACGTTTAGAATTTTGTAATTTGGCTCTCACTCAAAGAGACAACTTCTTCAGCAATGTTATGTTCACGGACGTTTATGAAAAATGAATCAATGAATTTAAGAAATGCCCATTATTGGTCAGCGGAAAATCCTCATTGGTTTAGACAAATGGATAATCAACATCGATGGAGTGTAAATGTTTGGATGAGCATACTCAGCGATAAACTTATTGGTCCATACTTTATCAAAGGATCACTAACCGGACCAAAATATGCACATTTTTTATCAAACACTATATGGACATTTTTAGACTATTTACCATTGCATAGACGACAAATAATGTGGATACAACAGGATGGTAGCCCTGCTCATTATTCAAGAATAGCAAGGGATACATTAAATCAAATGTTCCCAAATCATTGGATAGGACGGGTTGGGCCCATTCATTTTCCGGTTAGATCACCAGATCTAACGCCCCTCGAATTTTTCTTATGGGGCTACTTAAAAAATAAAGTTTACACTGAGCCTCCGTCTACAATGGCCGATATGAGAGATCGTATCGTTAATGAATGCAAGAAAATAACATCAGATACATTAAGAAACGTTAATGAGTCATTAATTTCTCGTTTCAGAAAGTGTTCTAATGCAAATGGTCGCTACATTGAACCTTTTTTGTAAATAGACATAAAAATTAAAATATCTCCTAAAGTAATAATTTTTTTACATAAATAGGTAAATACTTTTTTGTAAATAATATGAAAGAGCATCAGATGATGCAATAAAAAATATATGATTCCGTTTAAAAAAACATTAATGACCTTCATATGTCCTTTACACGTCCACCTACAAGAAAAAAAGGTCCTATTAGTATGAGCCCCTTTTAAAGCCATTCAACTCCATGTGAAACATTGTCTGCTACGCGTAATAATAATAACGTAAATCTAGATGGTAAAATGTGGTGACCCACCCTGTATATTTTCTTGTATTAATAAAATTTGGTCTGTGCCTGTTCTGTACGTCATTATTTTCTTTAAACCCTTTATAAGACCAATAATATTATTTAAAAATTTACCGGTATTGATATTTACTCTAATTATTCATTTTTACGATTGATCTCGTCGACAGTCACCGTTGACCTCCATGGCAGTCAACGTGTTAGACTATATAATTGTCATACCACATAAATAAGGAAGAAAATATATGTACCATCATAAAAGTATTATCCGATTAAAACTCAATACATATCAAATTGAATATTTGTAATCTTAAAAAATAATAGCTATTTATTCTACAAGTGTGAGATGTGGCAGATTATGTTACGTGTTTCAATTCTTGAATAAGCTAAAAGGATGTACTGTGTCCCGAGAAAACAAGTTAGGATTTGTTTCCCGAGCAAGAAAAAAAGACACGAATTTTCTTGTGATACAACGCAACCAAGGACGAATACTCATACCAGATTTACCATTTATCACACTTGTAGCATGCGACATATAATACAATTCGTGACGTGAACATAAAATAAATAGATCGTAGATTCTTTATTAATCAGAAAAAACGTCAATTTCATTTACTCATTCGTAATTATTATTCTTAACAATAATTTTCTTGTCATACGCAAGAGTCAAGAGTTTGACTCGCGGTGAGAAATTTAGGCTAAAAACAATAAACACGAAAAATTGTTAGTCATCTTATTAATTTTGCTATTTTCTACCTGTTTGTGCTATTTGAAATAAATATAATCCTTAAAATCTATTATATTTTAAATTTAAATTACAATAAATTAGAAGTATCATTGAAAAACATGGCATGATGTGAACATGTTTAATATATTTTGATGATATATAACTAAATATAGAAATAAAATTGAAAAAACGATAAAAGAAAGAAAGAATAAATATAATAAAAAATTAGATAAAATAAAAAAAAGGAATTAAACAAATTAATAATTAATAAAAAGATTAATACTAAAATATCATACCTGACAATCAAGACATCTGCAATGATCGCTCATTTTACAAGTAATTCCCCATTGTTTGGCAACCGCTCTGTAAAATTCTTTACTTGATTTGTGAAGAATTTCTTTGGCAGGCTGCCTCCCTCCACCACCTGGACCGCAACCACTACCTCCACCACCACCTTCACCGCTAATTGCATTTTTGTCCCTCTTCAATGCTTGTTGATTTTTTTCTTTATATTCTTCTACCTCGTCCATTTCTTCTTCTTCCTCATTATCAGCCGATTGCTCCATTCTCGTCTAAAATTTTAAAAATTTTGTCATTAAAATGTTTAGAATACACTTGTTTCGCACTTACTTTTTTTTTTTAAATGATCGTTTTAATTTAAATATTATGTACGAGAATTATATGAAAATAAATTGTTTCAAGATATTTATGAATTATTATGAAGAGGTTTTGATAAAATTATAATAATATTCTCTTCTGTCAGATACAATTCCGTGCAAATTTCTGTCTCATATAATGTCGCGAGAATATTAGTCTTTGTTAGATTACGATAACGGATGATATTACATTATATTATATTATCTATACAATATTATTGCTCGACCACTGGTTATAAACTAATGAAAAATAAATCAATATCGATGTTTCAATGAAATTATTGTAATTACGTGATTTAATAAAGAATTGTAATTTTGTTATGATATATAATATTAATAAGAAATCTAATAAAAATGACTGTAATAAGTTCGACTAATTTATGATTCAAAAACAGATTTTAATTCTTCGTATTAGACATGAATGTGACTATTAAAATGATTTATTATATATTTGAAAAAATTTAATTAAAAAAACGTATTATAAATTACGAATGAATGAAAATGATATTCAATTACTGATAGAGGAGAGTTACCATTTGTTAGAAAGAAACATGACTTTTTTCTTTTATCGCGAAATTCCAGTAGTGATACATTGCTAAAATTGCAATGTTATGATGAAATATGTGCGGTCTACCGCATATACAATACTATACACACGCATTTTAGTGTGACAAGTAAAGCGTAATTAATTAGTTTCATATATTCGAATGATTGAATGAACAAAGTAACAGCCTAAATAATAGTATCATTTTCTTTATATAAAATTATATTTTATCATTTATATAAACGCATCAAAAAGAAAAACTCTTATGATTAAAAGAAATAAAATAAAATTATGAAAATATCTAATCTGTAATATTGTACTTTTACATCTTTATTTTATACATTATTACGTTAAATAATTTTTTATTTTAGGTATTATGTTTATATTTTTTAATAATTTAAAAAAAATTTAGTCTCTACTCATTGAAAAAATAAATCTAAATATTATAAAATAAAGCTAAAAATTATTTAATATCTATTATTTAATTTTAGGAAAATTTACTGCAATTTTATTTAATTATTATAATTAATTATTTTTTTCAATTATTGATTCAAAATCTGTTTTGTTATTAGTTATACAGTAATTTAAGTTATTATAATTTATATTAGAGTTACAAATTATTAATATCAATTTTTTTCATTAGATAAAAAATTAATACTAAGGTTGATTCATTTTTCTGTATTTTTTGCGATTATAATGTTAAAAGTTTTATAAAATAAATTTAAGAAAAAAATTAAGCTTTGTTTAAAAACCTTTAAGAATATAGAAAATATTATCATTCAAGAATATAAATAATTTTTTCTTAACACATTTTGAGTCCATCGAAAATTCAAAAATTAAATATATTACTGTTTAATCATTTTCTTACGGTATGTTTTGCTGCAAGTATGGTGCAAAATGCTACGAAGAAAATGAAAATTTAAGAGAATGTTTTTTTTTAATAGCTTAAGCAAATGCCAAAATTTCAAATTGATTCACTAAGTTCTTTACAAGTTATTGCCATTTAAAATAATTGTAATTTTATATGTGATTTTAAAACTATTCAATTATACAGTAAAATTGAACATTTGAATAATATAAAAGCAAAAGCTGCTAAGTGTCCTAAATTTTTGTTTTATGTAACCTAAACTCTTTTAAACTGATTTTATATTGTTTTATTGACATTCGCTAAACAGTTATTGAACAAAAAAATTATAAATAATTCAAAAACCAAGTTTTTACTCGATGAATCAACTAATGTATAAAAAAGTGCTACAATTCTGTACTCAGCTGATCATAGTGATTATAGTTTTCTATACAATACAAGCAGCTGAAGTATATTTTATACGAGATAAATTGAAATAAGAACAATGTTATCTTTGTTACTTATACATATATGATACAGAGCGAAGAAGGAAAGTGACAGATATACTACTTAGTTTACTTGGAAAATTAACATTGTTGTTTACGTTTTTTTTAATTTTTACAACGTTGAATAATTAACATTAAAAATATTTGTCATTAAAAATTATTGAAAATAAGTAATATTTAAATGTCATAATTAATATTTAAGAATTATTATATTTTCATATTTAAAATTATAAGGATTTAAATCAAAATTGTAAAAAGGATTTCAAAAAATAAGATTTCAAATTTTAATGTACCATAAATAGGTATGTATATACAATATAGGTATACCGTAAAAACTATTGGCTGTGTTATGCAAAGTATGACCAATCTTTAGATTGCACTAATAAGTAAGCCTAATTTTATCATATGTCTTGCAAATTCATTTCTTTAATTGTAATAATATTTTAAACTGTTTAAATCTTTCTATTACAGTTTTTTAATTGATTGATGATGCATTCTATCAACTAATTTGATAATTGTTTGATTGGATTATGTTGATTCTTTAAATACCAAAAAATAAATAAATAACATATTAATTTAAACGTATATAAACGTTGTTGTTGTTCCAGCAAAGATCTTATTTTCACTTTAACTCATGCCTATACGTAATGTATAGATTACCTAGGTAATTTAAGAAATGAAAAAATTTTAACCACTTTAATGGATCACCCTAGTTAATCTGCATATTATCTAGATAATCTGTAGAATAACTAATTCCTGCACTTTAGCGGTAACATTAACGTATTTAATTTAAATAGCATGCTGAAAAACTAATATACTCATGAATTAAAAATTTTCAGAACTTTTACCTACGATTGTATTTCTCAAACATCTGTAAGCAACCTTCTCCTCTATATACGTAGAAAAAAAATATTACAAAAATTCAATCGTTTTGATGGTAAGAATGGAACGGGGAAAGGGTGGATGTAACAAATATTGTGAAAAGAAAATGTGAGACCTCTTCGAGAACGTGCTGATAAGAAGGCGGAGGTGAACTCGGCACCGTAGATTCACTTCTAACGACCAAATTGTTGCCGTTCGTTCCAAGTGTATCCGATGTCAGCAAGTGTGGTGAATTAATCGAGTGCTGCTGGCAGGGATCTTCTGATTCTGTGCTGTTACTGCGGCTACCCTTGCTGCCGCCACTTCGCGACTTAGACATCTTTGAGAAACGTAACTTGAATGGCGCCAGCTTGATCGATTTTCATTTATCACTTCTCTAGTGCTGCAATATAAACGAAAATTCTCATAGATTTTCTTTAGCTCTTTTTTTTTTACAATTTTATTTGTGAGAAAAGTCAATAAGTTTGGGTTTTTTATTAATAAAAATTCATTCTGGTTCGAATTACGTTAAAATGTAAGATTAAGATGTACATGCTCTCATTGTTAAGAAAAAATCGATTTTTTGTTATGCTTTTTATCTTTTGCTTTGTTTGTAATTATAACATTCTGATAGCGTTCCTTTTTTTTTTACAATTGTATTCGTGATGAAATAATACATTTATTAATAAAAGTATGTCATGATTAAAATTATGAAAAAATTTTTGTTTAAAATCTTCATGTACAATACATTGAAAATAGTAAAAGAAAAAAGATAATATTTTTTTATGGTTCATATTTTTTGTTTTGCTTAAACAGCATGGTTTTAATATGTTACAGTTATGAAATCGATTTTGGTTTTTGAAACGACTATTAAAACCGATAAAATGTTCTAATTGTTATGAGTCTAATAAATCTGTTATATTTTTCTTTAGTTTTTTATAATCGATATTGTAAGTTTTATATTACATCAGATTACAATCGATATAAAACTGTAAAATCACAGTTGTATATTGAATCAATCCAATCAACTGTAGAATCAAAATTGAATTATTTTATGCATAGCAGTTATAAATTTTTTGTCGATTTTCATAACTGTTTAGATCAAAACCAATATATACTAATTTAAAATAGGTTTTTTTTTCAATTCTTGTCAGGAAGATTTTGCCAGAGTCGAATTATATTGCTAAGTTTTTCTTCGAATCCAATTGGATAACTACGAACATCGGGAAAGTCGATATTTAGGGAGCAAGCATTCACCTGTCTTGTCAAAGCACACACTATGATCTGAACCTAAGAGAATTTCGATCTCCCTAGGGAAACTAATTCTACTTTACTACGTTTCAACGTTTCTTCGGAAGTGGAATCGAACAAAAAATCAGAATTTTATTGGCATTAAACATAAACTAGTCAACTTGTGGTCGTTACTAGAAATCAAAATCTAAAGTGAACAAGTATAATAATTACTTTAAATCAAATATTCCCTATGCTTGAAAATAAGGTATAAATTTCAAAAAAACATTCAATATTTACAAATAAGGTCAACATTTTAGTAATCGAGTAATTTTACTTTGAAACCTTATTTAAAAAAAATATTATTTCGTTAGGAAAGTTTTTAAAATTTGGTGATAATCGATGCACTGTGATGTCTGTTTAGTGATGAATTATCTAAAAATCTTGAAACAAGATCTGTAGCAAAAAAATAGAATACCAGTATTAAAACTACAAGTCAAGATTAGACAATCATTTTAGTGATCTTGTTAAAAAACTGTATGCTGAAGATTTACTCCAATGATCTTATACTCCGACAACTTAACATTGCATGATGATTTCTAATGGGTATACGTCATAGTAATATATACGCTCAATATCGATAATTAAATTTTCCCAATGTCCTAAGTGATAAATATATCAAATTTTCTCTGAAAAATATAAAAAATTTGAGGGGGGTTTATAAAAATTAGCGCTTTAAAAACAAACGTTATACATCAGTCTTTCTTACTATAATGTTTATGAATATTCTGTATCACACTTTACTATAACTAAAAAGGTAAAGTAATAATCTATTTAAACCATTAGAACAATCTTTTTACATTTGCCTTTTTGTTAAAATTAGAAATGCTCGTTCTCATATTATTATATAATACATTAATCCTATAATACACAAATGAAACTCGTTGAATATAATAAAATTGTAGATATACTATTATAGATACGAAATTTTTATTTATTTTTAATATTTATACTTAAAACCATACATCTTGATTCTGAATAAATTTTATTCTTTATAAGAAAAATACTACTAATCTTTACATTTTCGCAAATAAGAAATGAATATTTTCATTTCAGTATTTTTATCTTGATTTATATTATAAAAATTATGTATGCTATTTATAAGAACCACGTAATATGACCTTAAATTCTATTACATGATTGTTTGTCTATGTTTCATAAAAAAATTAGTATAATCATATTTTTTGTTGAGATTTACTATTTTATAAAATGTCATTAAATAAATTTTTCTGCAATATTTGAACGTATATTTTTAAAATAATTTTCCAAGATTTGATCTTAACAGTATCCAATATAATATGCGATATAATCATTATTATTTCTGTATTTATAGTTATTAATCAATGTTACGCGTTTGTTGGTTTTCATACTGATTAATGTTAAGAATCTGAGCTGACCATGTGTTACGTTGTACGTAAGTAGATTAATTTCTTTTGTAATACGATCATTATTTTCCTCCTTGAAAATTATTAATATGTAATCTAAGTATCCACTTAGGATAAGACTAATGTCTTTTTTATTTAATATTTAACAAACGACCGGTATCCTATAGCGTTGTTATAGATAATTCATAGATCTCTGTCAATTGAGTAAACCATTAGCTCACATAACATTTCTTAAGGCATAAATTATTTTGAAGATCTTGAAAATTGCTGTTACTTAAAACCTATTCACTAAATTCTTTGCTTTTTGCTATAAATTAATTTTTATTTAATTATATAATAAATTATTTATAAAATTTTAAATCATTTAGAATTGTAAACATTTTTTCTTATAGAAAAACAGATTTATTATCTTCTTTACGTAAATAAGAATTTGAAGTTTTTTAGATAGATAAATAAAAAGAAGAAATTTTTTTCTTCAGCATGTTTTTTGTTGGACGAACTATGGTTTGTCTGAAGAAAGAAGGAAGTTAGAAAAATGTAATCAAAAAAGTCAAGTGAGTCAATCAGAAAATTCATTCTGTATTTATAATATGATAATCCCTGTCATTATTTATTAATTAAATAAATTTATTTTCTATATTTCGTGAAAAAGATATTAAATAAAATAATAAATAAATTAATTAAAATTTAGAAGTAAGTAAATCTAGAGTTTAATTAATATATTCTGCATTCTCTCATTATTGATCTATCATTGATCCGAAATCTATTCTTGAATCAGAATACTTTATCAGCATATTTTTAACAATCTGTGCTTTACTTTTTTTTTATACGATATATTTTTATTCTATCTTACCAATCTATGTTTCCTATTTCATTGCACAACATAATAGACCATCTAAAATAATACCATATAACATAATAATTACGCGATAGTAAAAAATTGACCGTTTTCAAACTTTTGCATACAATTTTTGAGATACAATGTAAAATAGATTTATTAAAAAAGAGAAGGGTTGCATTAAAGAATAAAATTCAATTGCACTGAGTGCCTCATTGCATACATATAAAAAAAAAGCAAACAGGAAGTTGGAACGTATTATGCTATTTAATTTTATCCTTTTTTTTGCATTTGGTATATTGTAATACGTATTTATATAATATATCGTTGGTCTTTAATGCACAGTTCATAAACCTTTTTTATATGTCACCGGCAATTCATAGACAATCAACAAAATTTACATTTTAATGTTTCCAGATGTTAATGTGTTAAGCCATAAAATTTATCTATAATATCTGATTTCAAATAAAACAAAAAATATAAATTCAACATGTTATTAATTATAATATTTATACACAACATACCAATCAAATACATATAAAAAATGTACTTTGCCGAATCAAACGTAATGAATTACTGTAACAGAGAAGATGCTTGCTTAGATTAAGTTAGTTCACTCGAAAATGCAAGTTGCATCTTGTCCGTGTTATAAACGGCACTGCGCATTTACGCTAATACTCGTTCAAGCGAATAGTTTCACAGGTAGTACGTTGCTTCCATAACTTCGCGAAACACTTATAACAAGTTCTCAAAATACTAGTGACAGATATTTCAAGGATCACAGGTTAAGAACCTGCTCTAAAATTGTTATAAAAATTCATGCGTATATGCAACTGCTCTATCAAGGGGCTCCGTCATCTTTGTTATTCGGATACTAAATAAAAATTAAATGTATTTTGTTTTTTTAAATATTTCTTAATTTTATTGTAAATATATCGTTTGTTTTTATAAAGTAGTCTTACTATACTCCTTTTCCTTTAATTTATGTTATAATAAGTAATGTAATATCTTTAGTAATATAAAATTAATTGGCACCCGCAGGGCCCGTCTGGTATACAGATGGGGCTAAAGCGGGTTCCAACGCGGGAGCAGGGGTCTGGTCTGGAGGGCCTAGGACCGAATTGTCCTACACCCTAACCGGTACCGCCTCTGTTCTTCAGACGGAGCTGTTTGCCATTTGGGTCTGCGCCCACAGTATCCTCAAAAGGGGGTACTATGGCAAACATATCTACATTTGTAGTGACAGCCATACTGCGCTCAGACTTGTACACACCGTGGTCAAGTCAGGGCTGGTGAAGGACTGTGTCGACTTGTTGACACGGCTAGGCAGTGTCAACAGAGTAAGATTGCTCTGGGTGCCGGGTCACAGTGGCGTTCAGGGCAACGAAAGGGCGCACGAGCTTGCCAGACTTGGAGCTTCACGGCACGATCTGGCAAGCCAATGCCACATCAGCGAGTCAGAGGGACTCATGCGGTGGAGGTCTAAGAAGTGGGCTACGGACCGCTTCAGGGATCTCTGGGTGCAAGGCCCTGGCATGAGGCACACGAAGGCTCTGTTTTC